GATGGAAGCCCCTCCCCACGATGGTAGCCCCTCCCCAGGATGGAGGCCCTTTCCCCACGATGGAAGCCCCTCCCCGGGATGGAGGCCCCTTCCCCACGATGGAAGCCCCTCCCCGGGATGGAAGCCCCTCCCTGGGATGGAAGCCCCAGGTTTTGGAGATGCTGTTAGGAAAGCGAGTTGGTGAGCCCTGGGTCAGAGGAGATGCTGGGCGCAGCTCCGTGGCGACAGCTGGAGTGCAGCAAAGAGCCACCACAGGTCAACAGCAGAAGAAGCCAACAGGTGACGCAAGAAGGGTACTGATGGGAGACTTCTCAGAGGAAGGCGTCAGAGTGGCCAGTAGCACCCAAAAAGATGCTGGATGGACCAGCCACCAGAAAATGTGGAGTCAGGTCTGGCTGACAGTCACCGCACGGCCCTGCGCCTCCTGAGCCCTGGGCCCTCCAGCCCCCTCCCCAGACCTCCCCGTCTTTGTGCTGCCAGGCTCCCCCCCCCCCCCGACCCCCGGCATGGCTGTGCTGTGATGGCGTCTGTGTGGTCCTCCAGGTTTCGTGAGCACCCTGGGGCCAGCAGGCTCTGTCTGCTCAGGGCCTCCTGTGTGCACAGAGCATCACACCGTTTCTCCACAGTGCTGCATCTGTGCTGTGGGCCACTGTGGGGACGTGGTACGGCTGTGGCTGTCCTGTGCTTATCTGAGGGGTCAAGCCGCTGGCCTGGTCAGAAATTCCCTCGATGTGAGGGTGGAGGCCAAAGGCCTGACCAACCAGCTGAGGAGCAGCGGGCACAGCTGGGGCTGGTGGCGAGGCTGCAGGGCCTGGATCCCCATGAGCACGGGTCTGACTGTGCGCACGTGGGTGTCCTTGTGGGTGGGGCTTCCTGAGSCTCTCCTGGAGGCTGCAGGCGAGCGTGTTTGGGGGTCTGGGGCTAGAGTGGGGTGACACGCCCCAGCCCCAGGATCTTACCCACAGGCTCCAGGACAAGGAGTGACCCTCAAAGGGCCCCACTTGGGTGGTGTGGGGAGCAGAAGGGCCCCCACGGGACTCTCCCAGAGCCCACCCCACACAGCAGAGGCGATGGCTGGCCAGTGCTTTATTGATCATTCCCAGAGGTCAGTGCCTGCGGGGACGGCGGCTCCTTTGAAAGTCCCGTCTCCCTGTTCCTGGCCACTGTTTGCCTGGCTGGGCCAGCAGCTGTCCTGTCCCCAGGCCTGGTGACTGGCGTGGTACGTGGGCTCCTGCCTCAGCCCAGCCCCTCCAGGTGCTAGGGCTTGGTGTGGGTCACAGCTTGTTCCGAGGGCAGTGCTGAAGAGCCTCCTTGAGGGCCTYGATCACCAGATCCACGTTCTTCCGGGTGGCGTTGCAGCCCAGCAGGCCGATCCGCAGCACCTGGTGGGCACAGGCCAGGGCATGTGGCAGCCTCTGTCTGTGCATCCCCAGACCTGAACGAGGCCTGGGCAGAGCCAGGGTGGGCTCACCCCATGGGTTACCACCCACCCAGCAGGCAGGAGGGACACAGATGAAGACCCCAAAGACCCAGGCCAAGGCCAGCCCTCTCCCCTCTGCACCAGTGCAGGGTGGCCCTCAGTGGAGGTCACTCAGCAATTCTGGCTCTGCAGAGCAGCTGGWCTGGGCCTGGATTTCCAGCTGGACTGCAAGGTCCAGTTGGAGGGCAGGAAGGACCAGGACGTTCTGAGAGGAATTGGAAAGGGTGTGCCCGGTGACCTCTGGCCAGGGTGGGGTGGGCGGGAAATGCCCTGGAGCAATAGGTCTGGCCCAGAGAGTCCGCTGACCTTCCCCATGGAGGGCCCGAGGCCGCCCGAGATCTCAATGTTGAAGTGGTCTTGAACATAGCTCACGATGTCTCTCCAGTCATAGCCAGCGGGCACCACCACAGCAGTGACCGTGGGCAGCCGGATGGCCTGCAGGAAGTGCTGGGCTCAGCAAGCAGCCAGATGACCTTCGCAGTGGCTCCACTGGGGCTCCTGCCCTGGCCTGACTGCCCTGCCTCAGGGCCCAGAGAAGCCCAGGAGAGCAAGGGCTCCCTGGGCCGCGTCCCAGCCTGAGGCTCCCAGGGCCGCGTCCCAGCCTGAGGCTCCCTGGGCAGCGTCCCAGCCTGAGGCTCCCTGGGCCGCGTCCCAGCCTGAGGCTCCCAGGGCCCACACCCCTTCATCAGGACAGGGCAGCCATTTCCACTCAAAGGCAGAATGTCCTCCCACCACAAAGTCTCGCCTTGGTCGCTCGGGCAGTCTGCCTCTTCAGCTGACCCTCCCCACCCAAGGTCAACCCGGGCCTCCTCACCGGGTCCCTCACAAAGAGCTGCAGGCCCAGCTCCTGCAGGCGCCCGTGCAGGTAGGCGGTGGCTTCACGGTGCCGCTGCCAGCTGCTCTCCAGGCCCTGGGGGAGATGGCAGGACACTGACGGCAGAGCTGGGCAGGAGCCGCTCCCCGAGGGACCACAGCCTGGGTGTGGCCGACTTCAGCTCGGGGACCCACACCTTGGGGGCTACTGGAGCCCTGTTTGGGGCCCTGGCAGACTCGGGCGGGGCCTGCCCTGGCGTCTGGAAGGCAGGGAGGTGAGCACCAGGTGCTGTGGGTGCCTGGGGCCCTGGGAGGAGGGGACTGCCCAGCCAGGGGAGGGGCTCCTGGCCACACAGGACGGAGTGGGTCAGAACCAGGACTCACCTCCTGTGAGGGCTCAGCTTTCCAACCCTGGGCCTCCCAGGGCCATGACCCGAGACCTCCAGTGAGACTCTCCCCAGACCTCGTCCCTCCACCCTCCACCCTCCACCATGGCCGCCATCCTCCCTGCCCACCCATGCCCATAGCCTGAGTCCACCGGACTCCTCTGAGACTGCCCCATTCCTGGACCCTTCTCCTGCTGCCCTCTCTTCTCTCCCAGCTCAGACCTCAGCCCTGTCCCCTTGGGTGCACACACATAGTGGGTGACACAGCTGTGGGTCACCACGCCACCAAGCCAGCCCTCAGGCAGCAGCTTTATGTGTGGACACAGAAAGGAAACAAGTGGCCACAGTCCAAGGGCCCTTCCTGGCCCTTCTTGGCCTCTGGGCTGGTGGCTGGGAGTGGCCTCAGAGGATAGTGGGCACTGGGCATCCAGTGTCCCCAAGGGGGACTTGGCCCAAGACAAATCCACATGCTGGTCACAGACAACTGGCCTGGCCAGCTCAGCTCTGGGCACTGCGCGTGTCCACAGGCAWGGCAGCCTCTCCCTGGACATCGTGGCGCTGCAGTGGTCTGGGGTCCAGTTCACAGGCAGACCTGCCCAGCACGGCAGTCAGAGCCCTCAGGAGGTGGGCCCAGTGTGCCCTCAAGGAGGTGGCCCTCCTTGCTGTCCCTTTGGTCCACCTGGGTCCCTAAGACATGCTCTGATGCAGCACGAAGCCCTCACCAGATGCACCTGTAGCCTGGACTTGCTGGCCTCCACGGCCACCAACAGGTTTCTGAGGCTGTGGTCTCTCAGCCTGTGGTCTTCTGTTAGACAACACGATGGACCAGGATGGCTGCTGGYCCACTGGTACCAGTTACTGCCCCTGGCCCCTGTGACCGCCCCTGCTCCCTGTCCTCCTGTCTCTCAGACTCTCTCGGCTCTGCTCCCTGCTCCCTGGACACTACCCTGCTCACTCACAACAGAAGGGCAGAAAGAGTGGCACCTGCCCACGTCCCTATATGTCCCTGGCTCTGTTGTCCTGTGCACCTGCTGCCCAGGTCCACCATCCTCAGGGCCTGGGCCCAGGCCTCCCCTGCCTGGCAGCTCTGGCACAGGACCCTGCCTCCACCCTGTGGACACCTCCTTCTCTGCAGGCCAGGCCCATCAGCAAAGCTTCCCGGGAGCCCTCTCCTCCCGTTTCCCCAGAGTAGCTCCCGGCGACGAGGGAGTGCGGCCCCCCAGAGGCACTCTGTCCTCAGGGTGGGGTGCCTGGGAGCTGGTGGCCCCATCTTGGGCCCCTGCCACTCACCTGCTCCACCAGGAGTGCCAGGCTCTCCCTCAGGCTGTACAAGCCGATGACCGGCGTGGTGTGATGGTACCTGGAAGACAGCACAGTGTGACCCACGGGGAGAGAATGGGCAGTGGCTGACCGYGGGCCAGGGGTATTGTCCAGTTTTAGGATCATAGACCACGTGGAGGGCCCTGGCCAGCATGCAGAGTGGTGGGCAGAAAAGGAGCCGCCATGTCCCACTGCATCCCTTCAGCCCTGTGTCCCTGCACTCGGTACCGTGGGGACCTGGCCCATAYGTGACACATGGGGCCTGGGGATTAAGGCTGAGGTCACCTGTCCCCTGGCTCCCCCTCTCCTGATGGAGAGGAACTGGGGCCTGGGGAGGGGACGCCATCGCTGGGCCAGGTCCAGAGAGCCTGGGGGACAGGGCACATGGAGAGGGTGTGGGGGCCTCTGCTGGGCCTGAGTCTCCCGGCTGCGTGAGAGGGGCCTGGCGAGGGCGAGGGACACCTGGTCAGGCGGTCCCAGGGCTCTCCCGGGCGCAGACAAGGGGTTCTGATGAGAAGAGGGAGCGGTGGCCCGTGTGGAGGGAGGGCCAGGCCAGCCGTCCCCGTCCCTGCCCTACTCCCGTCCTGGGCTCCCGTCCCCGTCCCTGCCCTGCTCCCGTCCCTGTCCCCATCTCCAACCTCACGTCCTGGGCTCCCGTCCCTGTCCCCATCTCCATCCTCACGTCCTGGGCTCCCGTCCCCGTCCCTGCCCTGCTCACATCCCCGTCCCCGTCCTTGTCCCCGTCCTCACGTCCTGGGCTCCGGTCTCTATCCCCACTCATGTCCTGGGTCCGGTCCCTGTCCCCGTCCCTGTCCCTGCCCTGCTCACGTCCTGGGCTCCTGTCCCTGTCCCTGTCTCCGTCCTCAGGTCCTGGGCTCCGGTCTCTATCCCCGCTCATGTCCCAGTCCCCGTCCCCGTCCCGGTCCCCATCCCTGCTCACGCCCTGGGCTTGTCGTCACAACCCCACAAGTTGGCCAGACACTTGAGGTCCATGAGGACGGAGAAGGGCTTTGTCCTCCGAGCGTCAATCTTCTGCCTGTGGAGGAAGCGGCCTGAGTGCYGCGGTCCTGGCTCTTTGGGCCTGTCCTGTGTCATAGGCTGGGAGCAGGACCCCAGGGGACCATGTGGGCTGGGGGTCAGGAGGTCCTCACGCAGCCCAGCCCTGCTGGCCCTTGGGCCCATGTGGGCGTGACCCTGTCACCTGGGGACCTGAGGCCAGACACCTCCACTCTCAGTCCCTCCCTCTCTGCTCCCCGCAGGGTCATCTTGGCTCACCCTGCAGGTCCCTGGAGGTGACCACACTTGGAGACAGGGGGTCTGCTGCTTTGCCGGCTCTGAGCCTGACTTGAATGGCAGAGGGCAGGATGGCCGAGGCCACCCTCTGGCGGCTGCCACTCCCGTGGGGCTTGGGCTACCAGGTTGGGTGTGGTCCAGGCCCAGCACCCAGCACCCCTTTCCTGGGCTGGCAGCCCTCACTGCCCCTGCTGTCCCTCCCACCTGAACCCCCACTCTGCCCCTGCACCCTGCCCGGCCGGGGCTCCATCAGGGACTGCCACTCGACTCTGGGGCCCTGGGACACATCTGCTTTCCAGACTGACCCATCCAGCAGGGGCCTTTCTCTGAGCTCCACTCTCAGACCAGCTCCTCCTGGACTCCTCCCCTGGCCCCCGCACCCCTGGCCTTGCCCCAGGTTGTCTCTGCCCTGGGTGGTGCCGGGCTGGCTGGGCTGCTGCTGGACGTGGCCGCCCGCTGGGCTGTCCGCCTGCCCTAGCCCTCTGACCTGGCCCTGAGTAAAGGTCTGGACCCTGCAGGGTGAAGGGCGTGGCTGGAGCCTGTCCCGGTCACTTCCTGGTCACTTCCTGGAGGCCRGGCTGGGTGGAGGAGGGGCTGGTCTCTGGGCCCTCCCTGCTGTGCTCCTGGGAACCTCAGAACCCAGCCCTGCGTCCTGCACAGGAGGACTGTCCCCTGGGGCCCATGCGAGGGGGTCTGCAGGACACTCACTTGGCCTTGCTGCTGAAGGAGATGAGCGAGGTCCCTGGAGGGCAGTTCAGGACCTTCTGGGAACCCGAATACAGGACGTCGATGCCTGGGGACACAGCTCATGGCAGGCCTGCCCACCAGGCAGGTCACTCCAGAGGCCCTGCCTGCCCTTCCCAGGCCCATCCTGTGGCTGGTGGACTGACTCCTCTCAGTGTGGAGGCTGGGGAGGGGTGRTCATGGGTTCAGACCTTGGTGCTGCGGTGTCCTGGCCAGGACCTCAGGCCCAGGCCTCCTAGGACAGCCCCTCGCGGGGGGCCGGAGGGACAGCCTTCCAACCGGCCTGCAGCCCAGCCCAGCCCCTGCACCTGATGGACAGGCCTGGCCTTCCCTCCTCCCACCAGCTCAGCTCCCAGGGCCCCCTTGGGCCCCCCCAGGGGAGACCTCCCTCCTGGCCGCAGGCAGAAGCCCTGGGTCCCGAAAGCTCATTCCACCCGCTCCCCTGCTGCCATGGTGTGCATGCAGATGGTCCCAGGGGGTGGGCTGGGCACCCTGTCCACCATGTGGTGATGTTGGGAGGCGACGCCCTGGGGGAGGTGACTGGGTCACTGGGTGCTGCCCTCAGAAGGACTCAACCCTGCGGTTGTTATAAAAGGGTGGCTGTAAAGGAATGAGTCTGGCTCCTCCCTGATCTCTGGCTTCCTGCCTGGCTATGTGACCTCTCCCTCTGTCATGATGTCATATGCCTAAGGTGACGCAGGGTGTGGGTGTGCTAGAGACTATGCGATGCTGTTTGGACTTTCTGCCTTCCAACCATAAGCTAAACAAACCTCTTTTCTTCATAGGCTATCCTGCCTCAGGTATTTTRTTATAGTAACAGAAACTGAACTTACACACCCAGTGAGGAGTTGGTGCTGACCCAGCCTATGAAGCAGGACCCAGAGCCCAGGTGTGGACTAGGGTGGGCCCACAGGCACTGTTAGATAGAACCTTCCACCAGGGCTTCACCATTGGAACTCACCAGCTGTGGGGCCCACGCTTACCTTGCTGGTCCATGTAGATGGGCACCCCGCCCAGGGATGCGACAGAATCCACCAGGAGCAGGCACTCGTGCCTGGAGGAGGGTGAAGTGCAGAGGGCAGCAGAGTGAAGCAGGAGTGGCCGGAGTGCTCAGGCCTCGCCTGCCCGGGGCACCCRGAGGGGCCTGGGAAGCACTGGAAGGCCAGCAGGGAGACAGGAGGAGTCTGCCCCCGGAGCCACGGCCTCCCCTAGGCCTTTTCCCACCGGGGTCCTTGGAACCYGCTGCACGGGGCTGTGTGGGTGTCCAGGTGTGAGGCTCAGCCTGGGCAGCCTGGGCTCTGAGCCTCCAGCTGAGGGCCCAGTGACCGCGAGGCACAAGGCCCAGTCTCCCCAGGAGCCTGCCCACATAGTGCCCTGGTCCCTGGGTCCCGCTGGCCCTCCCTGGCCGTGGGGAGCTCTGGCCTTCCACCCTGTGGTCAACTGACAGACACATGGCCGGCTCAAGAGGGCTCTGCCCCTGTTTCCTGGGGGCAAAGGGGAGGGCAGGGGCAGTTTTGGGCACTGGGATCTCGGGGCACCATGAGGGCAGGACCTGGTCCAGCCATGAGGCCTGCAGGGCGAAGGGCCCTGGGGGGGACCAGCCTTGGGGCACCTACCCTGCCCCCAGCCCTGGGTCCTCCTCTGAGAAACTCGCCAGCCCGGGGTCAGCCCCTGGCCCTGAAAGGGGGCCTGTACACAAGGCCATGTGGACGAGGCAGGGAACGTGGGGCCGGGGACAGGGAAATGGCACCCAAGGCCCTCGGCCTCCAGCCAGGCTCGAGCGGTGCCCCGGCTCGGCCACCAGGGAGGCTCACCTGTGGCAGAGCTGCCCATAGCCGTCCAGGGGCTGCATCACACCTGTGGACGACTCACTGTGGGTCAGGAACAGCAGCACTGGCTTGTGCCGGGTCAGGCCCTGAGGGACAGGGGGACAGCTGTGGGCACAGCCGAGAGGGGAGGCACTTCTGCTGGTGAGGGAGGGCTGGATCACCAGTGCACACCCCATTCCCGCCGTGGGCAGGCCTGTCTGGTGCAGGGTGTGGGCAGGCCTCCACCCTCGGTCAGTGGCTGCTGAGGGGAGCCTGGGCAGCTCAGCTCTAGAGGGGACTTTTTCCAAGAGGAGGACTTGTGACAAGAAATGGTGTCCCAGCCTCCTGTGGGGCCATGGGACGGTCAGCTGCATCCAGAGCCTGGGAGTCTGAGACTGGCCTGACGGGGGGCAGCTGCACCCTGAGTATCAGGGACAGGTCCTGCGTCCTGCCCCAGCCCCCCAGGCCCTGCCCCAGGAGGCTCCTGACTCAGTTTCCCTGCCAGACAGAGTCAGATGTCCCCCTGTGGCCAGGCACGGGGGAGACCTCCTRTAGAAAGGCCGAGGACCAGTGGAAGGCCCTGGCTCCCCAGGGCTGACCCCGCCCTGCTGGGCCCACCCCCTCCAACCCCAGACCCGGGCACCTGGTACCTCTTCCACCTCCTGCAGGGTGTAGTGGCCTCCGGGCTCCTTGACCATGGGATGCACACGGGCTCCTGGCCAGGGGCAGAGTGGGCAGTGAGCAGCCCCACAGCACTGCAGGAGCCAGTGCTGCGGAGCGGCGGACCCAGGGGGCAGGACCCCATCCACCCTGGCGCCTGGGTGGCTGGCCCTCAGAGCGGGTGGGGCCTGTTCACGGGGAGGACTCTTCCTGCACAGCCCCCACCCCGCGCTCCAGGGCTCTGGGGACAGACTGTTCAGGGTTCCCTTCTTGGCCCATCCTGAGCCCAGCCAGGCCTGGTCACACAGGGTGAGCAGGTGGGCCCTGCAGGGTGGGACCACAGAGAGCCCAGAGGGCCGGACGCAGGGCCGGATGAAGAAGAGCCACAGCTGGCCTCGCCCGAGGGGGCTGGTAGCCAGGAAGCAGGCCCTGTCCTGCCCGTGTCTCTGAGTCCTATGTCCTGGGAAGGAGCCCAGTCGGGTGCCCAGGCTCCAGACGGAGGCTGTTCTGAGACCTGGGGGAGGGCTCCACCTCTGAAGCCCTGAACTGTCCCCGGGGGATGCCCGGGCCCCAGGGGCTGCCCTGCACCTCTACCCCGCGTCCCAGAAACAGCTGGGTCGGAATCTGGGCGGCAGGAGACAGGGACTGTCACCCTGTGGCTGCCCCACAGGGGCTGTGGCCTGCTGGAGGACACAGTGGGTTGGTGGAGGAGGAGCCTGGCAGATGGAGGTTCTGGCAGGCTYCATCCACCGAGGCACTGGGGAGGGTCCCGAGGGCCACAGCTGCCCGTCCTCTTCTTACCGATGCGCTCCCCGATCTCCAGAGCCCGCTGCCCCCATATGCCGTTGGTGCCCACCAGGAAGGAGTCCCCAGGCTCCAGGAGATTGAAGAGGGCCACCTCCAGGGCACAGTTTCCCGAGCCGCTGACAGCCAGTGTGACGGGGTTCTGGGTCTGGAACACATACTGGATGCCCTGCTTGATCTCATCCATGACCTGGACAGTGGACACCTGGTCAGGGCCCTCTTCCGATTGACCACCCCTGTAAACCCAAGCCCAGCTGCTGCCCACCGAGGCCCACCTGGTACATCTCCTTGGTCATGTGCCCGATCGCCTGCATTCCCCCGGCCTCTAGCACTCGAGGGGCCAGGTTGGAGGGGCCTGGGGTCAGCAGGAGCCGGTCAGGGATGGAGAGGGGCCTGCGCAGGGCCTCGGGGGGAGGCACAAGCAGCCGGTGGGAGGCCATGGTCTGCACCCGACCGACCTGTCGGGGCCCCAGGGCCGCTCTGGCCTTGGCCAGCCCTCGGAACATTTCCCAGCTCTCCCTGCGCTGGACACACAGGTGAGGCCGGTCGATGGGCCTCACCCCTGTTGTCCCTGTGCCTTTTATTGTCATTTGAACCCTGATCGATGTTTGCCCTGCTGTCAGGGTGGACAGCAGGGGTGTTGAACCGTGGGGGGGAGGGGAAGCAGAGTGGAGGGACCCCTCCCTGTCAGCCCAGGGACACCAGCCAGCAGACCTGCTTCTCCAGGGTTATGAAAAGTCCTCCTCCAGGAGTCAGAGAGCAAGCCTTTCAGGCTTTAGGCCTTACTGTCCCTGGTGACACCCCCACTAAAATGAACTTTATTCATGAACCCCCCTGTGAGGGCAGATGTGCCCACACCGACTGTCGCTTCCTGACTGGCTCAGCGGGGCACAGGCTCCCTGCAGCCAACGTGCCTCCGCTGTGGGTAAGGAGCCTCACTCACACACTCAGCCCTGATCTCCTGCAAACCAGCGTTTCCTGCGTCCTGTGAGAGCCAGAGGGCCTCAAGTCTAGACCGCACCCTCATAACCAACAAGAGATTCACCCAAGGACCCTCTCCTCGCTGGCCAGCAAGTGGACAGAATGGGTGCGATGCCAGGCTCCCCAGAAGAGGAGAGCCAGACCCGGCTGAGGTGGCGGGGCCAGAAGAGCCGTGGGTGTCCTGAGAAGTCAGGAAGTCCGTGGGTGTCCGCCAGGCCCCGGCCCTGCCCCCAGCACATGGTGAGCTGTGTAGACCTGAAGCCCAGATGTGCCSTCCGGCAGCACAGCTATTCCTCAAGGTGCTCAGGAGCCCATGGCCACCTGATCAGGCTTTTTGCCCTCTGTTGGTGGACCTGAACCCCTTTGAAGGGGACATCCTGGGCTTGAGTAGCCAGGGGAGACTCTGGCGGCACACACCCCAAACCCAACCTGATCTTTCCTAGTGACCRGGGAGGCAGCGCTTCTACCTGGGACCACTCCCTGGACCCTCCTGGTGACGGGCTCCCCAGCTGAGCAGAGCTGTCATTGCTGGGCCGTCTTGCCAGGCAGAGGGGGCTGTGGGCAGCCAGGGTCATAGTATGGTCAGCCAGCCCCAGGCCCTGTCCAGCCATGGCACTGACCAGCTGAAGCCCCCGATCAACCCACTCCTCTGTTCCAAGCTGTGCCCCTTGGCTTGGGTGACACACCCCCCGGGACCCTCCTGCCTGCCCTGAGCAGGGCCCTGGCTCCCAGGGACAGCACGCCCCACAGGGCTCAGGGCCTGCCCCAGTCTGCTCCAYGGGGCTCCCCCTTGTCCCCAAGGCCCATCCCAGAGCTGTCCTAGCTCCTGGGCTCTGTCCCCTCTGTGGCACAGCCCCTGCTGCTGCTTTCACCTCGGGGCCCCTGTACTGGGTGCTGGGCCTGTAGGAGTCCTCCCTCATGTCTGGATGCCCTTGCACGTCCTTGATGGCCTCCCTCCTGTCAAGGGCACATCCCTCAGGCCACGGGCAAGARTCACACATCTGTTGACCTCTGCCTCCTCCCCACAGGACAGCCCTCTCTGCACGTCTGTGTGCCCAGCGTGGCATGTGGGAGGCAAAGGGAGCCCCGGCCCTGAGGGCCAGGGCACAAGGTGACCTTCCYCTGCCTTGGCACAGCTGGAGCCCAGTGTTGCAACCAGGGGAAGGTGTTGCCCCAGGCCACGAGCTGATTGGAGCCTGGGTCCTGGGGACAGCAGCAGGGCGGGGTCGGACCTCTGTGTCCCTGGAGACCAGGGCTCTCCGGCCACCTGGGCAGGCTCAGAGGGGGGTTGATACCATCTGCTGCTGCTCACCGTGGTTCCAGCACCACCCCATCCCGGTGCTGACCAGGTGCTGTGTGGCCCACACTCAGGTCTCTGCAGCTGTGAGCAGGTGAAGTCGGTCATTCTGGAGCAGAGTGGGCCTAACCCTGGTGTCCCTATAAGACAAGAGATATCTGGACACACAAGTGGGCACACTGGGTCCTGCTGGGTGAGGACCAGGCAGAGACGGCGAGGCAGATCAGGAGCTGGACGAGGCAGGAGGGTGCTCCCCGAAGCGTCTGAGGGCACTGCTGCCCCAGAGCCTGCCCTTGGACTTCTGTCCTCCGGAGCTGGAGGACGTCTGGCTGGGTGGCCAGCGTGTGGCTGCTGGTTACTTCAACCCCAGGAAGGAACCTGGTGTTGGGCAGCTGTGAGTTGCCGCCAGTCGAGCACCAGCAGCCGGGCTCTACCAGGAGCTCCAGGGCGGCAACCTGTACCCTCAGCTGGACCTGGGCCTGGTGCTGACTCAGCGCAGCGTTGGAGTGGGGTGCTGGACCAAGGTGCTGACCAAACCCCTGGGTGCCGGGCCAGGTTCAGACCCAGGGAGGGCAAGGCCTGCCTGTGGCCAGCCACAGCTGAGGAAGAGGCCCGCCCTGGACACGCCCACCCCTCTGGCAAGGACACAGCTGAGCCTCACAGCTGGAGGCTCTCCTACCCATCTGCGTCAGGCCCCCAGGCCAGTCTGACCTTGTGGGCCACCACTGTTACCCAGAGTGCTACAGGAGTGCTGCAGGGGGGTCTGCTCCCGGGAATCAGATCCGCGCCTTGGGCTCCCAGCTCYGGTTCTGTCCCATGTCGCCTGCAGCTGGGGGTTCGTGGACCTACTGTGTCAGAGATGCTGGGAAAGGTCCTGCTGGTTCCCTCGACGGAGGGCACCTCCCACCTCTGCTCTGGTGGGCAGGACTGGGCAGCCTGAGGAGCTGCCTCCTGTGCCCTCTCCCATCTCCCGGTTCTGTCTCAGCAAGCCAGGGAGCTAGGGTGGTCTTGTTACCGCTGTTGGCCAGTGACGAGTCCTTGCTTCCCCCATGTTGAAGAATAACACCAGAAAAGCATGCCGAGGCAAGGTCAGAGTAGAAATTAGAAGTTTACTAAAGGACAGCAGAAAATGTAAGGAAGAGACCACCAAGAGACCGGCTCATGCAACAGCAAAAGGGGATTTATTGAGGATCCAATCCAGCRCGCTGGGGCTCCAGGCTCACTCAAGAAGGGAGAGCGGCCAAGAGCCCCGAGCAGGGGTTGAGCAGTGCTTAAGTACAATTTTAGGGAGGGCAGGAACTTTACATACGTCATGGTCCCCCTTAACAAATCATCATATACCG